AAGACAGTTCTAATGTATGGAGCGGAAACATGGAGAAACTACAAAGCCATCATCAGTGATACAAGTGTTTATTAACAGTTGTTACTCAATATACTTCGGATTGGTTGGCCAGACACCATCAGCAACAACGTACTGTGGGAGAGAACAAACCAGATTCGAGTGGAGGAGGAAATCAAGAAGAATTGGTGGAAGTGGATAGGACACACATTACGATAAGCACCTAACTGCGTCACGAGACAAGCCCTCACATGGAACCCTGAAGGTAGAAGGAAAAGAGGAAGGCTGAAGAACACATTACGCCGAGAAATAGAGAAAGATATGAGAGGAATGAACAAACATTGGACAGAACTGGAGAGGGAAGCCCGGGACAGAGTTGGTTGGAGGAAACTGGTGGGCGGCCTATGCTTCATTGTGGGTAACAGGCGTAAGTATGTCAGTAATTAAGCAGAAGTATATAATTCTACATAAAAATTCTACATAAAAAAACACGAAATATTATGCCTCTTCAATATATTTACTTGATTAACACGAACTGAAAATATTTTCACATCATCAGTCATTTTGAAATCAGTATATGTTGAACTTTTAATTAATTGTAATAAAATTTTCTGATAAGAAATTCTTTTTCTCATGTCTAAATTATTCAATGAAAGTATAGAAGATAATCCTAAACGATCCAGCCATAATTCATAAATCATATCATGTTTCTTGTAATGTTCATTAGTAGTAGTAGTACTATGAAATAGATAAAGATGCGTGGTTTGATTCTGTATAACGAGAAAAAATAAAAACAATCAAAACAAAATAATAAAATACTCAATGAGATAAACAAATTGTTTTAATGGTATGCAAAATTTTTGTGAATTAATTATTGATTTAATACGAAAAAATAGTTTTACATTAATATCATGAATAATGGTGGTCTAACATTGATCGGTTCATGATTTCAAAAAATGTGTAACTTAACAATCTTTACAACTTCGTAATGCGAATTACCTGTGCTCACTAGTGACTAGCTTCGTGAGGAGAATCTTCTCCGAGTTCTAGTGGGAAGACGTGACCAGTGAAGTTCAACCTGTTCGGGTGTAGGCAGTGTCTACCGAAGACTGTGTATGAGGTTGCGCAACTCCGTGAATTTGATCAAGCTAGATATTAACACCGTTGGGTACCTGCTTACTGGACTAACGGTTAGGGCGTTTACGCACAATACTGAAGGTCCTGGGTACGAATCCTGTAGGGTGCAGGAGTCCCATACCAGGACGAGACGGCCGTCCAATGCTTCCAGGTTTCTAATGGTGGTCTAACATTGATCGATTCATGGTTTCAAAAATGTGTTAGATCATTATTACAAAACCTGCAAGCACTGAAAGATGGACGTTTCGTCCTTGTATGGGATTGATCCAATAGGACGCATGCACGACTATTTCTACTTGCAGGATTCGGACTCAGGGCCTACGGTATTGCGCGCGAACAATTAACTGACATCAAATGGTGTTCTTTTCTAACTATTAATCAATCTAAAGATTTTAATCAACCATACTCCCCATTGTCTTCAGTCAGTAACTCCTTACGTTCGACAAGGTTGAACTTCACTGGTCAAGGCTTCTCATTGGAACTCCGGAAATTTCATTACGAATCTATTCAGCAGTGATCATAGATGCTTATTTCGCATTGTAGTATAAAAGAGATCGTTGTCTTTAAAGAAAATTATTATTCCTTAAATGGAATCTTGTGGAATTATTATAACGGTAATGATACAAAGAGAGAATATAGAATTAAATGTTGAGATGATTTGAAAACCTTGAAAAAATTTCTTTCAGTTGATGTAATTATGATTTACGGCAAAACTTAACAATCTTCACAACCACCCCGCAATGCAATTACATGTGTTCACTAGTGACTTGCTTAGTGAGGAATCTTCTCCGAGTTCGAGTGGGAAGTAGTGACCAGTGAAGTTCGAACCTGTTCGCATGTATACAATGTATGAGATTGCGCACCTCCGTGAACTCAATCAAGTTAGACATTACCACGGTTAGATAACGGCTCAGTGGTCTAACGGTTAGGACGTTCGCGCACAATATCGAAGGTCCAGGGTTCGAATCCTGTGAGGTGGCGGAGTCGTGGATGCGCACTGCTGATTAGTCACATACCAGGACGAAACGGCCGTCCAGTGCTTCCAGGTTTCTTCTAATGTTGGTCTAACATTGATCAATTCATGGTTACAAATAAAACTGAGTAAAACAAAATAGTTCATATATCATCGTCTCATGACCGAACACAGCAAAATGAAACTACCATTTGAAAAATCATTCACTGGACAACGAAATTTCAAACTCAAACACTGATTCACATCTTCCTCTTAACCAAAATTGTCTAACTTAATTACATTCAGTTCAATAAATTATTTCAGACAAAATGTACACATCAACAGGACAGTTATCAAGTAGAACCTCTTATAAGGTATGAAATTGTTCACATTTTATTTGGTTAAGCCATTTTATTAACTTATTTAACAGAACCATTTGTAAAGCAAAAACTTATCTGTAACATTGTGTTTTTATTACTGTCGCATTCGTATGAGCAGGTATGATTTAGTATTGCCTACCGCCTACACATATATCGATTGTGCTTGCTTTGATGTTAGCCGCCTAAATAATCCGACGACTCATTCTTTTTCCTATGTAAATACATGTACATTTTGATCCGAATCACTTGCTCACTGACACATTCGCTCGTTTCCTTGATCTTCAGCACTCACATATCATGATCGATTCATGTGCCTGTGGTTTGTGATCTGTACGTGATGAGATCATACATGTAATCAACGCTTCGTATGCATCTTCTGAATTTTATACACAGTTGGGTGTTATCTAGTAACGGTTATCAGGATAAGCAGAATACGAAATCTAGGAAATTATATCGAATACTACCCACTACAGAACTAGTGAGCACACATCCACCACAATAATTCAGTAGTCGGATCACAACAACACATCATGTTCCTAATTGCCTAATATTGAGAACTTCACTTTTGCATGCGAAATCAACTCTTGCAATCAGTCTCCACTGGAGTCGATCACGAGGTTTCTTGATCACAACATACAATACAAGTGTAACTAATCGGCCAGTCAGACTCACAGACACTTTAGATTCAACAGTTATATTACACAAATATGTAATAATTTGTTTCACGATATAGCATACTTTATAAGTACTTGAATAAGAAAGAGTAGTTAGTGAATAGTTTCCTTTCGTATATTGTTCAAACATGATGACTACAAAATTCCAGAAAATCACAAAATTATTATGTAAAATACACATTTATTACTGTAAAATAATTCAGTAGTATTGAGACAAGAAATCAATGAAAAACTCACATCTATACTATAGCCATTCTCACGACAAGAAGTTGCCATTCTTCCAAAATTAAAACAAATCAAATTTTGATGAATATTATGATGTTTCCATTTATGTGGAAATTCCACTGAATATAATTGACTTTCTACAGAATCCCTAATATGTAACATTGCATTTTCATCAGTATACGCTTCCTGTGTTGAGTAAAAAATGAATCAGATCTATGTTAATTATAAAACTGAATATTTTGAAAAGTTTTTGAAATGAAGTCATATATTCGAAGGAACATTTTTTTCCAGTAACTAAAGATCAATATTTACCATATCTATAATTCGTAAGCTTTTGCAGTCATTATTCATGATAAAATTTGAAATCGTGAATCAAACAGTGTTAGACTATCATTAGAAACTTGGAAGCACTTGTCAGCCGTTTCGTCCACAACTTCTGCTACTGGCAGAAGTTGATTGATTGCAGGACCTTCGGTCATGCATGCGAACTTTTATTCTCTGGACCACTGAGCTGGCATCCGATGGTGTTAATCTCTAACTTTGATCAGTTCATAGACTTTCAAAAGCTCATCCACTGTTTACGGTGAGTACTGCTTCATACCCGAACAAAGTTCAACTCTACTGGTTGCACAAGTACTCGGAGAAACTTTAAAAAATAATACCTGATCTCAAGTTAACTACAATCAAAAGCAATAAGGTAAGGCTGATGTTAAGTAATCATAATTGTTAAGATAATCGTGATCTAATTGTCCAGAGGAAAAACCAGATCCCAGTGGAGAGAGAAATCAGAAAGGACGGCTAGAAGTGGATAGGAAACACATTGAGGAAAGCACTCAACTGCGTCACACTTGGATTCCTCAAGGTTAAAGGAAAACAGGAAGACCAACGAACACATTACATCGAGAATCGGATGGAGACATACATGAGAAGAATGCACATAAATTGGACAGATCTGGAAAGGAAAGCCCAGGATAGAGTAGGCTGGAGAATACTGGTCGACGGCCTATGTTTCATTGAAGGTAACAATCGTAAGTTAGTAAATAACTGTACAGAAATAATAAATAACAACTATAATACGGAATAAAATAATATTCAACTGGAGCTTTTAACCACAAGGGATTTTTAAAAAAATGGAGTTTCACAAAATGCGATCCTTGATCCTCTTCTGTAGCAGAGTTATTTATTCTACTCTTTGCCAATGATATCAAGAGATTTGCAGACTTATAGACTATATGTCAGTTAGATTAATAGTACAAGAAGATCTAAATTCATTGGTTGAATAGAAGTACAAGTGGTCATTGAAAGTTGTTCTTAGCAAAAAGTTTGGTGGTGCATATAAATAACTGTTACGACTTGTGTAGTTACACGATAAGTGAGTTGGTGTCCCCTAAAATTGTAGACTATAGAGATCTAGGAGTGATAATTAAGCATTAACTTTGAAACTAAAGAGTAACTGTAAGGTTAATACTGCCAAAGACTTCACTGTCTTATGGTCTATTTGTGAGTTATTTCATTACTTGGATGAAGAAATGATTAGGGTACTGTACCCGAGTTCTATAAAGCTGCATTTGGAATATGAAAATTTACCAAAATTTTGAAGGATCTCACTGATTTATCGTAAAAGTACAGACGGAGACATTTCATCCTATTTCCCTTACCTTACAGTATGTTACGAGATGATTTTGGAACTAATCGAGAAAATGTGTAGTTCAGATGGATGGTTATGTTGAATTTTCGTTCGCTGAGATGGATGTTTTAATTGTGGAGCTTTCATTGTTCATCTGAACAACATCATCAGCACAAACTTTAGTTAGAAGATTTAGAACTATCCCAGTGTATACTGAAAGATCAATTTTATACTAATATTTCCCATACTTTCCTTCCACCTACAAATGATCATCTGAGATAGCATTCTAAAAGAGCATTTATTCCTTAGGGTACGGTATCTCCCATCCAGCAGTGAATTACTAGGATTCCATTCTAGGATACATAATATCAGCAACTTCTTTTGATGTATTCAAAGTGAGATTAGATTTTCACTGTACCATCAATTGTAAGGATTAAAATAGGTCGCTTGAATTCTTATCCTTAATACTGATGAGTGACATTTTTTCAAGCAGTTATGAAGGGAGACAACTTCGTATAGATTCTGCTTATCGATTTAGTGGTACGTCTTTAATTTCAATAATGACGGTCCTAAGCCTAGGTTAAGAAGGAGGTTTAGGTATAGAGTCAGCAACCCATTTTCATTGAAGATAAACTTGTTAAAAATACTAACTAGAAATACTAATTAAAACCATTTAAACTCTGACACTTAGAAAGTTTTCATTTAGAAGAGTTATCAAGCCTCATTGCGAAAGTCAAGATTCTTCGGAAGTCCTGAATGAAGACCTTGCAACTGCAACAGCAGAGTTTAAATGATTTGAATTATCTTTTTAAGTTAGCGTTTTCTTTTTTTTCTACTAAGTTTGTTTTCTACGAGATGGAGTTGCTGACCCAATGCCGAATCGTCTTCCTTTATTCAGGCTTAGGACCGGCAGTAACCTCAGAGGGTCTCCATGCGTAGAGAAATAACCAGATGCGCTCTGAGGAAGAAATTAAGAAAAAGTGTTGGAGGTGGATAGGATATACTATGGAAAGTACCCAATCTGTGTCACAAGACAAGCCCTTACTCGGAATCCTCAGGGCCATAGGAAAATCAGAGGATCAAACGACGCATAATGCCGAGAAATGGAGACAGACTTGAGAAGAACTAGAAAGGAAGGTCTAGGACTGAATAGGGTTGGGAATTCTGGTTCGTGACCTATACTCTATTAAGGTTAAAAGGCGTAAATAAGTAAGTAATTTCAATTTTTACTAAAATCTCTATCACATCAGTTTTTTGAGCTAAGTAAATAAAAAAAGAGAGATTACATGAAGAAATTAACCATATAACTTTCATCAAAACGATTGTTAATTAATTAGGCCTCTCAACTGAAATCTCTGGCTTTCTCATCTTCAGCCCTCTGAAAAACTCCAAATATGACGAGTTTAAACAGATTGTTGTGAACTGCTCAATTCTAGTTCACTTAGACTAAAAGGCATACACAACAAACATAGAGTAAGCATTTTCAACACATACACCATGTTGTGAATGATGAATCAGACCCATACCAGGACGAAACGGCCATCTTTCAGTGCTTCAAGGTGGTCTAACAATGATTGGTTGATGATTTCAAATTTGTAAAAAACATTAATCTTCTTCATAACTCTAATTGAAAATAACATGCTACCTAAATTCGGTCAGACTAAAAATCCTTCATACAACTAAAGCAATAGCTATCGGGATTTAAAAAAAACCCACAGCCTTATCTCCAATCACTCCTTTCACCCGTGGTCATCAACTTCTGACCTAATTAGTCAACAATCAGTTAGCATTTACGTTTGCTCATTCACAAATCTTGTCATGAATGTATCATCAATCAGATTTTCATTTCAAAAAGGTATTTTTATTATACTCAAACAAAAAACAACCAGTCACTTACTTACTTACTTACTTACTTACTTACCAAGAATAAATAATCAACATCTTTCCTATTCTCATTATTATAATTGCCATGATTACGTTGATGTAATTTTTCATAAAATAATGGAAAATATAACATATACATATCTAAATTTACTGGTTCATCTTTACGACCAAATCCAACACCGAATAATTTCAATTGATCATTCAATGTCGACCAATGTTGATTGGTCACATTATTCAAATTATTCAAATTATAACAAATATTAAAGTGTAATTGTTTTTCTTCCGCATAATCAACTGACCATTGAAATGTATAATCATCATTTTTATTTAATAGTAATGAATAATGTTGAATAGTGTTACTATTATTACTACTTCTACTTGTACTACTATTGGAATATTGAATCAATGTGTTTAAAATGATAAATAATATACATTGAACAATGAACATCGGACAGCAGGAGGTTGATGGATGTTATTGTTTATTTGTAAGGGCTTTTAGATTTTGTATTGCTTTTTATAGAGAAAAACTGAGTTGACCTTGAGTAAAGAAGAATCCGTCCTAAAGACTGGTTGTTTCAAAAAGGCTTTTTTAGAAATCTGTAACAAGTATGGTTATTTGATTGGTTTTTTGGTTTGTTTTTAATCTTATTCTTTTTATTTGAAATGATTAACATACGATTATGGAGGAGGGGCCGATTAAAGACTGCGCGTCACATGACTAGAGCCCTCACTTGAAATCCTCACGGACAAAAATCCCACATTACACTGTGAAATGAAGACATACATGAGAAGAATGAACAAAACATTGGACAGAACCTAGAAAGGAAGGCTAAGGATAGTAGAGTAGACTGGAGAATACTGGTCAGTGGCCTGTGCTCCACTGGGGGTAACAGGCGTATGGAAGTAAGCGTTTATGGAGATTGTCAATTTCTACAAGACAGATTAATTCTAGTCAGTTGTTAGAAGAATACAAGTAGGACTGATCAGATAGTTTGTTTCAGTTTGAAGTTTCCCATCAGTGTGCATACATGCCTTCATGGGATTTTGATATATATGGTGATGAGAGCTTAATTTTGGATTATCGAATCAGAATTCAACTGTTTAACATTTCTGATTTCAATTTGTTTTTAATTGGTTCTTCATTAATCAGTGAATACATTTGAATAGTTAAACATCGCAGTACATACTGCGTTGGTATTGGTTACTGATACTAGCAAATTATGTGAAATAACTTATTTTTAGGAATAAATGCTAAGCGACAATTATGAAACCTTAATTTAATGGATTTGACTAGGGCTTTGGTTCTTAAGCACGAGGAACTTGAATGAGTTACAGTTTCGTTCCTACTTTTTTTCAACATCGCCCGAGTTTTTTCATGGGTTACAGCCGGTCCCAAACCCGGATAAAGGAGGAGAGATAGGTCTCGGGCTGGCGACCTCAACTCGCTAAAAAGAAAATTTGCTCAACAGAAAAATACTTTAAACCCCTCCAAATTCGCCACGGCAGATGGAAGGTCTTCATGTAGAAGCATTATGATGCCTCTTCATGATGAAAGCCGAGTTTCTTCACCGGTCATCAGACCGATGCCCCCTTCTGACAATCAGACCAATTTAGGTAGATGAAATGTTCGGAAAATATGAGACACAGTATAGGACACTGTATAACAAGGTTGATTCTTCATAATAATAAAAAAAGAACCAGTTCGTTTGGTACAAATGAACATAGCAAGAATAACAAGTTGTGAAGAACTTAAATGAATTCATTTTTCCCAGCAGTTTTGAATCTAAAAATGCATTTATTAACATTAGTATTTCAAAAGTTTTAGCATATGTTCGTTTGTGATGAGTAGGTGAATTTTCGAAAATTAACCAAAACCATAATAACACGAAGAATATTAATACAAAGTGTACGAATAATTAAAGTTATTATCTTTTGTCATAGAGAAATGGAGATTAAAATCATGAATCAATCATTGCTAGACAACCATTAGAAAACTTGAAAGCACTGGACGGCCTTTTTCGTCCTGATATGAGATTCATCAGCAGTGAAACTCCCGTGATTCCTACGACCTTTATTCAGTCTCGCGCGTGACAACGCCTAAAAACTTTGGACCGTTGAGCCGGTCGACATCCACCGGTGTGTTAATGACTGAATTTGATCAATCTAGGGATTTTTGCGTAACCTCATCCATTTTTTCTTCGGTAGTTACTGTCTACACCCGACAGAGTTGAACTCCATTGGTCACATCTTTACCATTAGAACTCCGAAAATATCCTCACGAAGCTAGTCACTATTGAGCATATTGTATGATAATTATTATAGAGTTATGGAGATAGTTGTCTGTTATTGAAATCATCAGTCAGTCATTGTTAGACAAAGGTTATGAAACCTTTAGATTATTCAAAGTTAAACATATACATCATTGGATGCTAGCTAAGTGTATTAGAGACTAGGTATTCGTACGCAAGACCGCATGTCCTGGGTCCAAGTTGTGTGAGTAGCAGTTGTCGTGGATGTGCACTACTGTTGACGAGTCTCATAACAAGATGAAGAGGTCATCTAATGCTTCCAGGTTTCTAACATTGGTATGATAATGACTGATTGGTCATTTCAATATAAGTTGTGATCAATATCTCTTTATTTTAGTATTTATAATCAAGTGATTAAGTAATCCCCCCATGTTGATTAAATTAAAAATTTTGTAAATATTAATAAGATTATTTAAATGGTGTTGGGAATGTTAGATCCCAATGAACTCGCTTGATAAATAAATATCTTTATTTTGGATTTATTTCATACACCGATCAGTTGACCTCGAGATCACATTTCTCACCAGGAAAATCCTTGGCTGTGATTGGTTACTGTGTCGTTTTAGTGTTCTATTTTTGTGACTGACTGTCCTAAGGACATCTCTATAGAGTATAAATAAACGCGATTTGTGTACTTGGATTCATTTTGTGCTGGTTGGGTGTTTATAACAATTTCTACACTATATTAAGACTTCTTGCTGGTACAATTTGATCAAGGGATCACAGTAACCTACCTGGACACGGGTTCATTGTCTCGTTCTCGTTTATTGACTAGGGTGAACTCGTAATAGTTTAAGCATACCTAGAGACGAGACTTTTGTAATACTGATTGCTTCTGAGAAATGGACTAACTTTAGTGTTGTTTATTAGTTAACTATTTTAAATGCACTACTTATATTGACTTCATGTTCATCATTCAAAAGGTGTCGTCTGGCAATTGTGCTAATATCACTAAAAATGTTTCTCTCCTAATTTAAATAAAATAAAGAAACCACTTCTGAATATTTATTAACCGGGATAGCTCATGGATACCAGTGGGAACCAGCATGCAAGTGTTCTCATGCATGAACCTGCTATATACCAGAGTTAATAATGATGAATTCAAGATTCGCACTCAACACATCAAACACCATCTTGTTATCTACCAACATATTGAGTGCAAAGATTCATCGGCTTGAACAATAAGGTGAGGTCTAGTTCATGTCCACCTCCGATAATAATAATAATAATGCTTATAAATATGGCGGCAACCGATATACACATAAATCTGTAAATTTCCTATAAACAATTGACTGAAAGTACACTGAGACTGAGATTGAATCTTATCAGATTTCTTTTGAATATGATCTAGTTGAACACAGTAAACATTGCCGATGTTTCGGAAATGAGTTCAGTCAAAACAACACTCGATTATATACATGTATTGTGTTAGAATAATGAGCAAATTAAATGAGAATATTCAGGAAGTTGTATCTGAAATAAAAGCAATGCATGGAGTTTTGTGGAGGATTGTGTAATGAATACATGTTTTTGAGCATGATTAATCTGTGATGATAATGTGAATAAGAATTTGGTGAGATAGTAGTCAGTGATTGAAATGTCTAGTGTAGTGGATCCTCTCGGAGGCAATCAATTACTATGTGGTGCGCCCTACTCATAAGTAGTATACGACGCGAGTGTAAACGTAATGTCTGGCAGCAGAAGGTGGGGAGTACGGATGGGGAGTCAGGGGCACAGTTGTTGGTGTCGCAATTCATCAAGAGCGTGCCTGCCGCCGTGTCCCTGCAGCGGGAACTAGTAAACGCTACACGTTGGATAGATGCCGTACCCATTCCAGACCAGCGGGCAAGAACAATGACCGAAGTGATAATCTGGCATATTGTAGCGTGTCACGGAATACGGAAGGTGATATTAACTGACCAGGGTCCCTCTTCTGAAAGTGACGAGTTTAAAGCCCGTCTAAAGCAGTTTGGCGTCAAGAGAATACGAACTACACCGTATCATCCGCAGATAAACGGGCTTACAGAGAGAAACAGCCGGACGTTAAAGGAATGGTTAGCATCTAAATGAGGAGATTGAGAGAAAGAGTTACCATTGATTTTGCTGATCCCAAAGTGTGAAAGACCGTACGTTATCACGGAGAGACGTGGCGCGGTTTACACGATCTGGAGAGAAGACAAGCAGAAGCGCGTAAATGCTAGTTAACTGCAGAGACGGTTTAAAGATTATCAAGTGTATGAGTCACGAAAAGCACCAAAGATGACAACGGTACGGCAATCAGAAAGACTACGACGACAGCTTATTAAAAGAGGGGACGAGTGTGGTGCGCGCTACTTATAAGTAGTATATGAAGCGAGTGTAAACGTAATGTCTGGCAGCAGAAGATGGGGGAAGATCAAGAAAGGAAGAGTGGGAACACAATGGAATTTGTATGAAATGCATGAATAGTGAAATGTCAGACAATGGATTGATGATGGATTGAAGATTTACAAATTAACCGTTTACGATATGGTTTTCCTACTTTACTGAGTAACTCTGTAATTTTCGATAAATACAATTTGGTTGCCCTCACCTGTATTCTCCTTCACTACAACTATGCTTTTTATATCACTTATCCTAATGACCGTTATTAGATCACTCCCATTTCTGTGTATACATTTCAGAAGACCGCACGAAGCATTGACTACAGTTCACTATCTGATGTAGAGCATAGATTAAAAATCACTAGGCACACGAATTGAATGCGAAACAGTTATGTTAATGTGGTAGAACTAACGAATGATTGATTGAATACAAATTAAGTTGAATATGAACGTGGAAATGTGGCTCTCATTTAAGCCGGTGAGATGAATATGCCTGTCCGTACACACTTGATAACAATAAGAGTGCAAAGTTATCGACACATTTGGTAATGACCGAATGACAGCGTTTGATGAACAAGTCGATTGCGAATCTTAACCGAACTAAACTTCTACAGACTGGAATGTAGGTGAGATGATGTACTAGTATTGATGATGACGAATGGTGGTTTTGTGTAATATGACTGTTGAATCTAATCTGTTTGTGAATCGGATTCGCGGATTGGTTACACTCGTATTGTATGTTGTGATCAAGAAACCTCGTGATCGACTCCAGTGGA